ATGACAACTGAGAAATGAAGTGTTGATCATTTTAGTTTCAAATCCAACCAAAGTAATATATTATATTATGACAAGATAAAATTTATGAACTAATTAATTACTTGAATAATTACTATGTAGTTGAATTCATGAGTCAACTGAAGCTAGACCACCATAAAAAACATGGAAAAACTGGACGGCCGTTTCGTCCTAGTATGGGACTCCCTAGCAGTGCGCATCCACGATTATTTTTGGTTGTCAAAAACTATATTTTTCTGCTAATAATTCAATTTCCAAATAACCTTTCGAAGACTTCTGGATGTATACAAATGAGCATACGGTATAAACACGTTTGACTGTGATAAAGTAATTGCCTCATTATCATAAAACTAAATATTATCCAATACAATTTGCACTCCATAGTATTTAACTGCTTTATATATGATTAACAGCATATATTTTTGGTGAATGGTAAGAACGCCAATTATTATAGATTTGGAATACCTAATAGTTTAGCAGCGATATACAAGATACGACTTTTGTTGTCTTTAATATTCATTAGCTAGAAGTACTGAAAATAATAGTAGTGGGTTTTAAAAACGCATATACAACTTAAAACCATATGCCAAAAATAGTAACAGCCTTGATTCAATGAACGATGAAAAACTGTTGTAACCATAGAGTTCAGTAATAATTATTCTGGAATTTCAAATAAACCAGATAGAATTCAGGTTTTTGGGAAGTAACTAATTTTGACTAAGTTGTAAATATATCTAACAAGAAGATATTGAGTCAAATAAAACATTCATTTTTAAGCCTACTTTTAGTGAATACTAAATACAATCAAAAGAATAAGTGATTTTGAGCATAAAGCTTACTAATAGTTGTCTTAAACTGTCACCGCTGATACATAAAAAAAGAACAGTGATCAATTTAATTTTTGACATATTCATTTAACTAATTCTTTTACAATATCGTAAAACAAATTGCTTAAAACATTGATCACAGGTTGACAATTCAGTTATCATCTTCAAAGTAATTGTTAAATTATTTTGTTGATTATTTAAACAATCTTATGTGTACTAAGTTTATTCATAAGTGCGCAATTCACGTGGGCTAAGGAATGAATATATAACCCTAGGAATAATCTATCATTTAATGAATTCATTTCTTTAGACTAAAAACTATTTACGTAGTTTGTTCTGTTTATAACAACTAATATTTGTCAATCATTTATATCTGAATCTAACGACAACAACACAGAAAAACAATAATAAATACGTCAATATTTATTAATCAAAAAATTAATAATCATACCGTTCATTTCATTGGAGTAGTATGAGTAGTATGTTATTCAATTGTGAAAATTATGAATATCATCATAGAGGTGATGGAGATTATTAAGTTTTTGATTGAGATCATGAATCGACTGATGTTAGATCACCATGGAAAACGTGGAATCACTGGACGGCCATTTCGTCCTGTTGTGAGACTCCTCAGCAGTGCGCAAACACGATCCAGTGCTTACAGGTTTTCAATGGTGGTCTAACATCAGTCGATTTATGATCTCAATTAATGACTTAATAATCTTTACAACCCCTATGCTGATAACTACTATGTGCTCACTAGTGACTAACTTCGTGAGGGAATTCTCAAATTCTAATGAGAAGCTGTGACCAGTGGAGCTAATCGGTGTCGGATAGGAACAGGTATGTACCTCATTACAGTGAAAGATGGTAGCGCAACTTCGTGGATTGGTTGAAGTTAGACATTAACATCATTGGATTCCGGCTCAGTGGTCCAGCAGGCTGAGCGTTCGCGTGCGCGACTGAAGGCCCTGGGTTCGAATCCCGCGAGCGAGATCGTGGATGTGCACTGCTGAGGAGTCCCACAATAGGGAGAAACGGCCGTTCAGTGCTTCCGGGTTTTCAATGATGGTGTAACATTAATCAGTTCATGATCCCAACCAAAGAATTATGTTTACTTTTTTCTCTGATTTACATGATTATGATTAGCAAAATGATAATTATTTTCATATATATATATATATATTAATACATACTTACTTGGTGGTCCCAAGATATACGATCAATGTTTCAAAGACACCTATGATCGAATTCTTATGTAATGAATAATTTCTCAACTATTTCTTTTTGGAGAAGCATTGCATTAAATTATTAGTTTCGGCGAATTTGGTTTGGTTAAATTTAGTTTACAAAATTTCGATATACTGTGTTTGAATAATAATGAGATGAAATTCACTTCAATCCCACCAGACAGTACAAACCTTATAGCATGCACAACTAAATTAGGTAAATTACTATTGGAAACAAGGTAGTTCAAGCGAAAGTTTCATGCATACTTCTAGAATAGTTTAACTGTTAATAAGAAATTATTTATTCTGGTTCTTTTTAGACCTTCATTTACGTTTGGGTACTTAAATGTTATCAGATAAATAATTCCTAGTTAAACTATCCTAGTTCGCATGCTCTTAAAAGATAACAGATTTAATCCCATAATTTATACATTCAATTAAGGGATCAGTGATTTCGTCTTGTGAAAATCCTTTGGTTGGAATTTGAGAATTCGGTAAGTGATAAAGTTGACAGTTCGATAACATTGTTCATTAAAGAGTATGCTTAAACTACCCATACAGAATAGAGGCTTTTTTAGGAGTTCATGTATGTATCTGAAATAATCGACGGGAAGTTATAAAGTTCTTGGAGGTGGTTCTTTACTTCTGAATAAAATCATTCGAGGAATATTAGTCTTGACGAAGCTAAGCTTCAGATACCTTACAACTTTTAGCTAGCTTACATTCATAACTATTTAACGCTATTACATTTGAAATGTAGGTTAGCATGTTTCAATATAATACCTTCCAACAACGGAAACATCCTGATTTGCATACATTTTCCTCTCTAATTCAATGCTTACTCGGTATTTATTAGAGTTTTAGAGGCTCTTCATAGAAAATGACTTACTTAGATATAAACGTTTCATGCTGGTGGTCCAAGAATCAGAACTTTTATTTCAAATAGTGAATCATAATGATGAAAAGTCCCGGTATGGCATCAATCAGTGTCAAGAAATCAATCTTTTTCTTATTCTAAATTTCAGATGCTTAAAGATGTGTACAAATGGCTGAATCTTTACTAATCGACTATTCTTCAATGTGGTATACCAAGTGTTATCTTCCGGCATTTCTATTGCCCCAATAAACCTAATATACTAAGGAAAACAATTGTTCAGCAGTAGAGATCTGTATTATTCAACGCTACCTTATTATTACAATTTACCCAGTTAGTCCATTTCTGATAATCTATCCATAGCATGGACATATCAAATTAAATGTTTGACATAATTAACTAACAAGGAATAATTCCAAAAAGTAAGAATATTCAGAGATCAACTAAAAAAATATTACGAATTTTAAAGGGGCTTGAGATGTTCTACATTAAAATAAACAATATTCAAAACAGTAGTGTTAAATATATTATGATACAGGACATGGTACATTAACCAACTGATTCTAACAGAATAACATGTCAAGGATCATATAGTAAATTATTGTTCATCCCCTTCCTAAACAATTATCTATCTGAAGAGGATTTTGTGGAGATTTTAGTAATTTAATAGTTGAATTTATGAGTCAATTGAGGCTAGATCACCATCGAAAATCTGGAAGCACCGGACAGCTGTTTCGTCCTAGTGTGGGTTCCTCAGCAACACGCACTCACGATCCCGCCCTACGGGATTCGAACCCAGGACCTATCGGTCTCGCGCGCAGACGCTTAACTTCTAGATCACTGGACCGGCATCCAACGATGTTAATGTCTAACTCCAACCAGTTGACGAATGTGCACCGCCATCCACCATTGTCTTCAATGAGTTACTATCTCAGAACAGATCTGATTGCACTCCACTGGTCACGGCTCCTCACAAGCGCGCGACATCGACATTTCCTGGGTTCAAGTCCAGCGTGCGAGATCATGGATGCACACTGTTGAGGAGTCTCATACTAGGACGAAACGGCCATCCAGTGCTTCCACGTTTTCCATGGTGGTCTAGCTTCAAATGACTCATGAATTCAACTATTAAATATCTATCTGTCAATGACTTTACCATAGTGTCGTAAATTAAAATTCTTAATTTAATTCATATACGAATCAGAATGAGAGTTACCATTATCATCATTATTGTCAATGTCATTGAATTGTTTGCAAGGCGAAAACTTAAGCTGTGTCTTATAAATTATTGCTCTGTAACACTTTCAGTCTATTCATAGAAGTTCATTTTCGTTAAGCAGAGTAAAAGAAAAACAATAGCTTGCATTTGTTGTTTAATAGAGCTTTCTAAACACCGTAGGTATTTTGTGGCAATCATTTCAAGACAATTGATAATTATTAACAAGATATATCTATATTCATGAAGAGAATGATACTTCTTATAGGACATAACTATAAACTATCCAGTTTTTCAATTAGACATTATCGAAAGAGACATTACATCATTTAAACAAGTGAGTAAATTAAAGCTTGATCAAGTCAGTCAGTCAGCTACAATGTAGGACCAGACACATATGTGCATCGGTCCAAGTTTCCATACCTCATTAACACAGCAAGATAAACACCGGATTCATAGAACTAGTTAATTCAATGGTGATAATATATAAAAGAAAGACTGCATATAAGGATATAGTACAAAAAGAAAGAATTAGTACATAGAAAGATATGAAGTTAAGTTAAACAAATAATCAGCACTCCAAAAAACAACATGACAATAGTTGTTATTCCATGATTAATTAATGTAGAACACAAGCATTTTAACTTTCATTTATTGTCATATTACCTTTCTTTGGAAAAAAAACCCAAATAAACATTATCAACGTTTACCTAAATGTACTTTGCGTGTGTGTGTGCGCTCACAAGTACAAATGTCTAATAAAGTTTTTCCATTGATTTAATTTCTTAATTTGTATGCACACACTTCGTTAGTTACTTAGTTACAATGAATCTGATTGGTTATTTCTCATCATTATAATAAATAACTTAATATAATTTAACCAAACCCTTAGTTACTAATTTCTTATACAAATAAATTTTAATTTAATTAAACATTTAATAAACAAGGAATTATAATAACAGACAACAATAACAAAAAAATGCAAACAATTCATAAAGTGGATGGATTTACTGAAATCTATTTCATGGTTGATAAAAGAAAAAAAGGTAAGTTCAAGTTACATTGAATAAGTTTTTTAAATTATTTTTTCTTATATATAGGGATAATTGTGCATTGGACTAATTATGTACAAATGTGTATCCTTTATAATACTTAGTTTGTTTTTTTAAAGAAAAAGGATCAGTAGTCATGATATATTTAAAGTGAAAAGTAGTATGTTTTAGTCACAGTGTGAATATCAAAAACAAAATTCAGATACATCTAAATAATTTCACTAGTTGAAATCATGAGTTAATTGAAGCTAGATCACCATGGAAAACCTGGCAGCATTGAACGGCCGTTTAGTCCTAGTATGAGACTCCTCGGCAGTGCGCATCCACGATCACGATTCTAAAATCTCCATAAAACTCCTTCTGATAATAATCATCTGCTTACTAGTGACTGACTTCAAGAGGCATTTCATAGAGTTCTAGTGAGAAGCCGTTACCAGTGGAGTTCAACCAGGTCTGTCGTGAGATATCAGCTCACTGAAGACAATGGTGTATGGTGGCGCGATTTCGTGGATTGGTTGAAGTTATACATTAACACCGTTGAATTCCAGATGGCTCAGTGGTCTAATGGTTAAGCGTTCGCTCGGGAGACTGATAAGTGTTAGGTTCGAGTCTTGTGGGTGGGGGAGGGACCGTGAATGTTCCTTGCTGAGGAGTCGCATACTAGGACGAAACGGCCATTCAATGCTTACAGGTTAGGGTTTAGCTTGAATCGACTCATGATTTCAACCAGTGAAATTTCTAAAATCTCCACAAAACCCCTTCTGATAACATCTAAATAAAGTGAAGAGTGTATCCTAGGCCCTATTGTTCAGCTAGCATAGTAGTTCAAAGTTGAATCAATGACTTACAAAACTGATGACATTTTCTAATTGTTCATGATATATAACCTTATTCTAAGGGAGGATAATTTTGTCACTAACACTGGTTGATTATAGATGATTAATTTCACGATACTATTAATCTATGTTTAGAAAGTAAGTTTTTAATAAATTAGTGTCATGTATTATTTGGTTTAACTGGAAAAAAATAACCTAGACGGAATAATACTTAAATTTTCATAGTTTTTGTCAATTCGCAATACAAGCGAGGCTTGATTAAGTGTCTCTTTAAGAGGACTCAAAGAATTTGTAATTTTTACACGGTGGAAAAAGATGAAAAGTTACTGACTGACACATTAACAGTAAATGGTTATCCACTAAAGTTTATTAATATGTGCGAAATTCAGTTACTACCATGACCTCCTGTTTATTGAATTCAAAATAAAAAAGTTTATATCCATCTACCATATAGACGTTAATCCAACAGAGATCGAAAGCAACCATCGAGAAAACCTATTATGTTGCTCAATTGGTTGTGATTGAAAAGTTTAAGCCCATGATTTCAATAGACCTAGACAATGCACTGATGATTATGCCACATCCCATTGTATTTACCAATTTACATGTTTGTGTGAACACACATATATAGGGAGGAGTAATGGAATAATGCAATCAAGGGTCGTTGGACATGTGCGTAGATAGCTTCAAAATCAGTGTTGATAAGAAATAAAATTTAAATTATTTTCGGTATAGTTGTGATCTATTTTAAGTGCTAAGTAAATCCTCGTCTATCGTCTTTGTGTTTACACTTGCTTCGTATCATTCACTATTTCTAATAATAATTGCCAGTTTTCTACCGTTACAACAGCTGTCAATATATTTACGGGAGATCAATAAAAATCTTAATCTGCATCAATTTTGTATTCTTATTTATGTAGTACAAAGCACCGTGCCTTAAAATAACTCAATAAATTCACTTTAAATATAGTTTCTTAATATTAAACATCCAGGTAAAACATTAGTTCATGTAAACATTGTATAAAAGTGTTCAAAAATAAACTATTTGTTTCCATGTCAGAATACCCTTAAGTCAACAAAATAAATTTCCCTTTCTAGTGATATGAGATACACATATATTCACAAAAAGATTGTTTGGTCATATTACAAGATTAGAATACTTTTACGATACCGATGGCTTGTCGTTCTTTAGTTTTGTTCTCAATATTACTTAATTTTATTCAGTAGCCTGTATCGTTCCACACATAATAATGGTTGCTTTCAATAATTCCCATAATTGATTAGGAAATCTACACTGATATTTTAGCCAACACTCATGCAAGAGCTTCAAAACGAAATAGTCGCCTGGTATCGAAAGTTTGACGTATGAATTGTTATTCTTATATCATATTTGACTGATTATCTACTTATATATCTATTGACAACAGATTTAATCTTTTTTTACTCTTTCTGTAACATTTGATTACATAAACATCAAGTTTTATGAAGTTCTCTAGAATGACGAAGACCAGAAAATAACTGGTTTTATTTATTGATTTCCTAATTTTAATTGTCTACTTTCATAATACACTTTACTGAATGATATTGAATGAGTGGTACAGTTAGCGAGGCTTCAAATAACCGTTAAGAAGAGGGTCAAAAACTTAACAAAGAATGTTGTATAGCTAAAGGCAAAAAAGTGTCTATACAAAATTCAAGATAGTGAGCACTTTGGTTAAAAAAAGCAAGTGTTGTAAATAGTTTGCATTTTACAGTATATGATAGTTACGTCGGTAGTTGAATACTTAGACTTCCATAATTCACAGTTTCGGAATTCATTCGATTGAAGAAAGGCTCCATAAAACAGGTTTGCTGTATCCAATCTGTAAACTCATTTCAACATTTATCTTATGTTAACAACCACTTCTGTTGGTCTTGTGTAGTTAGTTACGAGAGACAAATCTATCATCAAATATGTGGAGAAAAGGCTATTAAGAGCTATATATTGACTAACTTCAGTCGTGTAATCGACCTAAATTCAGATTTTGGATTTAATCAATCCTATTTGAATGATAGATAAGAGTTGTAGTTTATGTGGATGTTCTTAGTTATTTTGTGTTTGTTTTTCAATTGAGTGACTTAATTATTTTACATTGATCGGAAGTCATAACCATCCATGTCAACAAATCCAATGTTTTTAATCCTTCATGGCCTTTTTTGTTTTTATATTTATCTAAATTACACTTTCCTTTTCATTGTTATTACTCAATTGTTGTTAACATTCAACTCCATTTCATGAGCAAAACATTATCAAATATTACGAATATATATACGAAACGGCCGTCCAATGCTTCCAGGTTTTCCATGGTGATTTAGCCTTAATTGACTCATGATTTCAACCAGTGAAATTTCTAAAATCTTCACAAAACCCCTTCTGATATTATCAATATAGCTCAATCATTTTCATGATATAATGATTTAGTTAATTATTGATTATTAATTTGTAACACTCCTTTCATTTATCACTTGATTGGTATTAATTTTGTCATTGGTATTACTATTACTATTATCGAACATATACATATTCATATAGAGCTATAATGAAAAACTAATTACAAAAGAAATATTTTCACATTCTATTCATTATTGCCTAAAATTCAAAATCACTTTAGAATAGAATATCATTTATCGTAAACATGTAGGAATAATGTTGATATTCGATTTCATGAAAACTTTTCTTTAATTAAATATCATTTTTGACATTTCTATCAGTTAGTTACTAATGTATTGAATTTGACTCACAACAAGATTCAGCATTGTGTCTGAATGTGTAGATCATCAACGTTGATGATCTCTGTCGAATGATTGGAGCCTACGTGATTTAGACAGGAATGGTGTAAATAAAAGCTAACATTGAAGTCACACCTCACCGCGAGCATCTAATAAGAATTACCTCTTCCTCGTATCAAGGTGCAATGGACACTTTGAAGACTGTACAACACAAAGGACGTTATCACAGAAATATATTGGTTAAAGTAGGTATAAGTGAAAGTATGATTACCACCGCATGGGTCAGTTCATGGCGTACGATTAACTGTACGCGTTGGTTGTCCTTGACCTTGATAGAGATCAGTGAATTGTTTGACATTCAGTGACCCAATTGTCGGATGACTTAGCTAGGGTTCAATAACATTTATATGGTCCTACATATGTTTTGTGATTTGAATTTAATGTTCATTCAATCTATTATATATTGATTTACACACTACACAACGTTTCTTCAATAAAATATGGAACTTCTTTATTTTTACACACGTATAATAATCTAACAGACAGAATCCTAAAACCTGACCAACTTGAGTATTATATATATGAGATATTCTCAATTATTCGACCCGAAATAAATTGAATAACGAAATATCAATTTAGCTACATTTAGAAATATTAGTACAGTTGGTTGTAATCATTTGGGAATTAGTATTCTCCAAATAAACGAAGTACAAATCACTCAATGTAGCAATTAAAAATGCTAAAACAGAATGGCTTGGGCTTCTGTTGATCACTTGCTGGATTCATCACTGAATATTATAAACAGTGTCATACTTGCCTAGTTCTTGATCCAGATCGAATTCTATCGATAAAGTTGTACTTTGGTCACTAGTCTAAATGATTCTGCATAGTTTATACTGCTATTTCATGTTTAATGGTCGGAGTCAAGTTAGCAAACTTCATGGACAAATATTTCATGATAATGACCATATCCTAACTTGATCTACAGCAATGAATGCTTGACGAAGGTGATATTAGTTCGTAAACAGTAATATATCGATGTAACATGAATGCCATAAGATAGAAGACCAATAAGCTTTAGTTATCCCTTCTCACATCCACTTCCTGTTGAACATAAGTATCATAATTATAACAGTTTGTTTAAGTATGAAATGAAAAAAACGTTTGATACGTATTTGGACTTTACTTTTAGGTTGGATTACTATGCCAGAGTTACGAAAGTATATGGAAGAGAATGATGTGGATGAAAAGATGTTTGAGGTAAGCCAAAGTTTTCTCTGAAACGCGTGTACAATGGTTTAATAACTTATGGTTCAATAATTTATATTACAGAATAACCTCAATTAGAGAACCTTTAGAAACCAAGAACATTTTAGCAATTTTTACCCAAATATTTGATACAAGAAATACTACTATCGTGTAGTCTGATATTGGCTTATTCTTCTCTTCAAATATCATTATAATCCTAAATTATAATTTAAATCGTTGAAATTGTTCTCGTTCTTAGCGTTGGAAAACTCTATTTGATCCTGAATCTACTGGTCGTATAACATTGGAAAAATTCTCTGAAGTATTAGGTTTACAAGAAGAAGTTATGTAAGTTGGTACAATTACAGATCAGTTCATTAACTATAATAAATTCATACACATCGTTCCTTTTATTATCTTAAAGAGAGCAAGAACAAAGATTGGTGCAGAATAATATGAATTCATTTTATTTCGTCAGATTCTCATCAGCTGCTTACAACCTAAATTATTTGAAAATTCAAATTATTATTACAGATATTGACATACTTATACATCAGAGGGTGATGAAGGATGAATATTGTAACATCATATAGCAAAGATTTCGTTAGAGATCATGGAATTAAAACACATTAGATTATTAAGCAATGAAATAACTGAAAATAGATTAATGGTAATAAAGAAAGATATGAATTTAAATTGGTCAGTTATGAATAGTGTAATTATATAATTCAGAACGAGTTGGAATGACGTAATAAATAAAATGGGGTGGGGGTAATGTTACCAGGGAAAAGAAAGATTTATTACTGTTCCTTTTTGTATACAAGGATCTGGTTTTAAATGTTTGATTGCTATCGCTTCGCCAAATTTCAAAAGGTTTGAATTTAAATGTTTATTGATCACCTTGAAGGACTTCAGTAAATCGACTTCGTGTTCTGTGTCAAGGAGATGTCTTGCGATAGCGCTACTGAATGCCTCTGGTCCATTTGATCTCAAACCCTTCGGAATATGTTCTTTGAACCGGACGTAGGCTCTCCTTTCTGTTCTACCAATGTAACTGCTTTGACAGATACATGTAAATTTGTATACATCGTTGGTGGTAACATGAAAGGGATACCTGTCGACCTTTGATTGTATCAAAGAACATGTTATTTTGGACAGGACAATCAATTTAGCTGCATGATATGTTTTTGTCATATTATTCTGCACCAACCTTTGTTCTTGCTCTCTTTAATATAATAATTTCACTTATTTAGAAATATTCAAACTGCTATTCAAGGAAATGAAATGCACGATGTAAATGTTATTCAATCAGATATGAATACAAAAATGAAATTGACTATTTGTGGACTAATTGATGAAGGGATATTGATTTATCATGATGATTTGGTAAGAGTATCATTTAAGAGTGATTTATATTGTTTTGTATGATTTTTCAAATACATTTTCAATAATTTATTGATAACATTATTGTCATAAGATTGTTGTTCTCATTTTCTGACACTATTCTCTATATTAGTGACAATGTTTTCGTCTGTTTATTTCATAAAAGGTTTAAATAAATATATAATTGTGAACTGTTCCATCAATAAACATGATGAATGTAACCAATGTCAGTGCAGTAGAACACAGATCAATAAATCAATACAATCATTGAGATTCCAATTTGTAACCTCTTTGAACTATTTTTAAAATAAGAAAATCACCGCAAACTATTCACACAATTATATAATCAGACACCATACAGACTTTCATGTGATAACTCAAACAGTACAGCTCAATCCTGTGGCACAACCATACAGGTATCCAGCACCCTGGTGGGTCAATCACATCACCACAAACTATCTTCCTAAGTAACAATCGGTCACTTAATAATGAAGGAATTCGAGATGGTTTACGCACGTTTTATTTACATGGTATAATTTGTGAAATTTAATCGTATCTATATTAAAATAGATATTCCTTATTTCATTACATACTGCTCACGCTACTTCGAGAAGAGAATGAATTTAAAAGTATGGACCACTTAATTCCAATTAAGTGGTACAATGTTATCATACCTACTTCAAGAATTCGATGTACGGGATTCAATCCTGTGTGAGGTTTTCGGTACATACTACTGTATAATTAACAAACAGGACGAAACTGATTTTTTAAAATAGATCTACAACTGATGTTACCTGAGGATGGAAACTAACTTCGAAGAAATATATATATATATTCATTTAGTGTTAACGATACAAATTTGTTTAGTAAATGAACTGTGATGAGTCTGGAGTAACTTTTCGTGGACTAGTTGAAATTAGATACTAACACCGTTGGATGCTGGCCCAGTGGTCTAGTGGTTAAGCACTTGCACGCGAGACTGGTAGGCCCTGTGTTCGAATCTCGCGGGGCAGGGGCGTGAATGCGCAATGCTGAGGAATCTCACAATATAACGGAACGGGTGTCCAGTGGTTCCAGGTTTTCCATAGTGGTCTAGCTTCAATTGACTCATGATCTCAACCATTGAAATTAATACAATCTCCACAAAACCCCTTCTAATACTTAATTATGTGATTAGTTGGTTTATCTGTTAACCGATGAATTTAATAACATTAAAGTTTGACTATATTATGTACAACATCCATTGTAAGCAATGGAAGAAATTTTAAATTTTAAACACATCAACTTGAATAACGTGAAAAACCATAGAAACTCATTATCTTTTAATCTTGAATTATATAGTATTAATCTGTCTAGTTTACACAAATCCACTATATTTTTAGTGACTTGCCCAAGTATTCCGGCTGCTTCGTTTCAATTCATTCAAATGTCACAATTTTTTTCTGGTTTTGCAGTTTCTTAAAATTAGTAAACTGAATCTGTTGATTACATGAATTAATGATAAGCTTCAACGAAAATCTTACAAACTATCGTCATACTAAATAATGCAAACTATAACGGTAACGCTTTTGTTGTTGGAATAGTTTCTTACTTCTTTAGTTCGTAGCGGAACAAGAAAAAATTACACTTATATTGACGTACATATATCAAATTAGTGATATGCTCTAATATCTCATTTAATGTATACATATATTGCATTATTCAAAAAACATTGAATACTCAGAATTTGCCGAAACAAATTTGCGGTTGAATATAAATGGCAGATATAGGGTTTTTTAATATACGTTTCTGAGAACTGCTACTATTAAGATAATATAATTTAGAGAAGAATTTGTAACAATACTCCACGCTTTGTGCTGATAATTCCCTACCGTATTCAAACATATGTTATTACGGTATTTCAAACAAATACAGTAAAACAGTCTTAATCGAATGTTAAATCTTCATTTACATTAATTGAAACATCTTTGGAAATCTTCAAATGTCAGTCTTCCTAGGTACATCATTGTTTTTTTAACGGTGATTGAGGATTTCAAAAATTAAAATGAAGTAAGTCTGGTTAGCACAGAAGATGAACATACATAGCGATGGAATTTCAAGTCAGAAATTTTCGGACACATTGCTTAATGTACCAACATCATAATGATACATAAACAATCCATCTGTATAGCACACATTTCACAGGATTCTTAAAGTGTCTGAGAATTTCTAAGTATAAGACAGCATCTACTGTTTGCCCTTCGTATGATGTGCGACACACAGACTACCAGCAATTGGTATACCGAATATCGTACTTGTTGAATAGACCGTATATAAGCTTCAAAAGATTCCAACTCAAATGTATTGAGCTTAGGAAATATGTTTGAGGTAATAAGATGCAATACTTGACCAAATAATAATCCTGTAATTGTAAAATGCATACTGAAAGAAAACGCATTATATTTGTTCATCTATTCCTTGATAAATCAGCTGTTTGAAATCATTTCATTCGTACACATTATCATGACAAATTAGTAGGTTTCTGCCATAACTAGACTTGAGTGATCATGTTAAATAATTAGAGGACTGAACTGAAACCTTAAGTTTATCGGTATTACGTCGTAAAACGCCAGAGAATTTCCTCGACTCTTGTGCTGGATCACTTAATCTTTTACCGTTCATTTCGTTTGTACTGAGTGGTATTATTTATGTTTAGAATAATGACTAAAGCTACTCAGTTAAATTACATAACACAGAATGTAGCACTTCAAACATAAAACAATCCCTTGATCTGTTTTACTTATTTTTTTATTTTGATTTAGAAATTAGTTGAGTTCTTGAAAGATGAATTGGATAAGTATTTTGGAAAGTTATGGAATGTAATCATCATCTATGGTCGATATTGGTCACGTTATTGTCATGAAACAGGTTATAATTTTTGTTTTATCAAAGACGACCGTATATTCCTAGTATACAAGATTCCGGATATATAAGAGAAAAATAAGATATTTCAATCACATTCCATTCTTGAAGATATTTTTATGATAACTCTGAAGCAAAAATGATGAACACAAAGACTTCTCTTGTTTTGATATTTTACGTGTAAATTTTGATTCCGGTTTATTCATAAGTTTGTCGAATTCTTTGACTACATAACAACCAATCAATGATTATATAAAAGTTGGACTTATATTTTAGCTAACAAAAAACATGTGGTGAAATGTATAAGTAGTATATTTCATGTTTATACTCACTGTATGTGGTTAAAATGTTCGGTGAAAGATAACGGTTTTGACGGGACCTGCAATGTTAAATAATTACTGTCAGGTGTATGGCCTGTACTTACATCCAAACTAAATTGTACTTACTAAGCAAAATAAAGACGTAGTTAAATGCAATAAAATGTTATTACAGTCTGTCCGTGTACTTAATACTTAGCATCATTTGGACATGATTTTCGGTACATATACATCATAACCCTTTCATCTAAAGTACTATAATAACCATAGAGTTATCCTGTAGTATTCATTTTTTTAAGCTTTATACTTGAACATGTGAAACATTAACAAAACGGTGTAATATTTATGCTTGAAAACATAAAAATACGTTCAGCTTATTATTTACAACCATCGATTATATGCGCACAAAATAAGTTATTCTTGCACTCATCGATAAACATTTATTCTCTTAGTATATGTGATCATGTTAATTTTGAGGAGTCTTATACTAGAACGAAACGGCCATCCAGTGCCTCCAGGTTTTCAATGGTGATCTACTTTAGATCAACTCATGAATTCAACTATTAAAGTTTTGATTTGCACATAATAATGATTATACTCTTTATCAATGCTTGTGGACTCCGATCATACTTATTACAATATAGTCAATACTAATTAAAATATTCCTTGACCTTAAAGATTAAGTTTCAGTTAGTATTTATGTTGCATTATTTTACCATAATTTGAAAATTATGTAATAAGATAAGCTCATTATGACAAAATGTGTTTCTTTGGTTAAGGTCAACTAAACTAACACTCAAATTAATTCTTATCAAGCCCTAGTAAATATGGTTCATATTCACTTGAAAATAATTAGAATAATACGAGTATAGTTCACATCATAGTGATACATTTTTATAGTTTATATCGTCGAATGAACACTTAACTGTATAATAAGAGTAAATGTTAACTTGAATAATGAATAAGTATTCATACAGTTGACCTTATTCACATTTAGTTGTCTTATCAACAAAACAAAACAAAAAATGAACATTTTATGTCAGAACTAAATGTTGAGTTTTTACAGGTTAAAAGCATTCATATATTGGTCGAAATTCTAGGAATTTACATTTCCGTGCTAGCGAACACCTCTCAGCGTGGCTGAGCAAATGTTTGGTGAAGAAAGTGAACACCTCGGCCCATTTAGTTCAGACTGGTCATAGTGTCAGTATAAACCGATCCTTTTCAATTATTTATCGGGCCAGTAATTTTTCGCCAAAGTTTATCAGACTTAAAGTCCTTCAAACGGCTGAAACAGTAGACATCCACTCATGGAGAAAATATAGTTGTTCTCGAGTGGAAGCCTGCCTTTTGGCCAAAAGGCAGTAGACATCTGGATGAAGAACCCTGAGCTATGCTTCTCCTCCCCTGATCAACCTCAAGACCAATTAATCAATAGTAATCTTAGCTATTGAGTGACCTAATTTGACAATTGTACTTACGACCTTTATTATTATCATTATTAATAATGGCTTTATTCATTATTATATTTTTGTACAATATAGAATAGTCAGCAAGAGATATTTCAACGAGTTTCTGTCGTAAAAAGCAAGAAAAGAAAAAGGTGAAAAAAGATCTGAATCTGTACAACTTTTCAAATTAGACATATGTTTGAGAATACAGGTTATTGACTAGGTTAACTGTAATAACCTGTTCGTTACAGAGTATTCTTGCTGGGTAAGGTATTATATAAGGAGAAAGTTATGAGTGAAAGAGATGGTTAGTATTTGATACGATAACACCTGCCAGGAGTTTGAAAAACTTTAGATGTCTATCCACAGCCATATTAATAATGACCTCGAAAGATTCACCACACACCTTGCTAACTACCTTCAGCACTCTCCGCAATACGGCAAAGTCTTTTCTCAAATGTAATTGTCCCTATAATCTTTATTCACAAAGCTTTGTGTTATTATTATTATTACTATTGGTTAAACGTGATCATTATTCTCCCCAATACATTTACTTCGTATTCATCCCACCTTATTATGTCTCACTAATAATTTTTTACACAGTATAGTCTTCCATTAAACATTTGGTCGAATTGTAATTGCACTATTATTTCTCTCACCCTATCTGACCCATGCTTATTCGGATCATGGATCTTAAATTTTCACTTAACATATAAGCTGATTCAAATTCACATTCTATATGAGTCATATTAACATTAACAATTTTATTCTATTTTGTTTAACAATTCTAAATTCAAAGCAATTAGTCTGTTTGATAAATTTCGGTAATGTAATAAGAAGACAAAAATTATCAGAACTTCTGAGTAGACGAGAAGATGGCTCAGTCAAGCGATCCATTTTTAAAAAACCAACGTGGACAGGTCAATACCTTAGTTATTATAGTTATTGCCCTGTGAAATACAAACCTGGTTTGATAAGGTGCCTGTTCAACAGGCTTGATCGTATTTGTACAAATGACGTCATTGATGATGATGTTAAGTTGCTAAATAAAACATTAATAAAAAATGGTTATCCTCTGAAATTCATAAACAGATGGGAAGTCCATAGTACAGTGTGACTTACTGTGGTCTTGGTAGAAAAAAAGCCTGTCTACATCACCTTACCATTCAGAGGTGATTCAAATAGCCTTTTATTGAAACAACAACTTAAATCAGTCATCAATAAAACGTATTGCGCAGCAAAGGTCATCATCAAAGAAAGAACAAGGTGCATGCTTCATCCTAAACCTAAAAGACATTAAAGCGATTGTATCACATCCCACTGTGTTTACCAATTTAAAGGGAGGAGCAATCGTGATCTAAACATTAGGGTGTGTGAACATGTACCAAAATGGCTGCAGAAACAAATACAATCAAGTGACCCAATAAGATCATAGGATGAACATCCATCATCCTCTATTGCTAAACATATAATAAAACAGGCCATAAAATTGATCTTAACTCGGCTTTCGTGGTGTTGTATAAAAGTGTAGAGGGGCGTATTCTAAAGAAGAACGTATTTGTAAAATCTCAGAGAAAGAATTTGAAGTAAATCCAACGTTTCGCCTGGCAATCTGATTCAAGCTTTTTCAGGGAAAGGTCATGGCTGCAATCTGTCGGGGCATAGGCGGAGATGACGAAAAGACATCGTTTCTCACGCCGATTTCTTCTCACTTTGATAGAACTTTCTAGTCTAACAGCACATAACCGACTGTTAATGGGGATCCAATCGAATTATGCTTTTGGGGTCAATAATGTACTTTTCGGATTATTAATTTGAATATATAAAATTGTAGAACCTGAAGAGAATTTATCGGAAACAATATTCATCGTTCAACTATTAGTCTTTTCAATAGCTTAAATCATAAGTCATGGGTTCGAATCTTGGGGGGGGGCGGGATCGTGAATGCGCACTGCTGAGGAGTCCCATACTAGTACGAAACGGCCGTCTAGTGGTTCTACGTTCCCCATGGTGATCTACTTTCAACTGACTCATGATTTCCACAAAACCCTTTCTGACATTAGTCTTTTAGTAGTGGGAATGAAATCATTATAAAAATGACATATGATGTGAAAGTTTAAGAAGTACATCACAATTCACTAATAAGTTGATTAAATTACATCAAGATAAACTGTATGATATAAACTAGATAGTAATGAATTTATGAAATGTAATATTTAATATTTAAAATGTTATGAACGTTTATGTTGTCATTATGAAGTCACTTTAAAGAATTAAGATAATGGTTTCGTCCTACTGTGGTGTATCAACAGATATAAGTAGTATATATCATCAATCGAAAGCGGAGCGCCTGGAAACAGAAGGTTGAGAAAATTAAAGAGAAGAGAACGAGAACATAGAGTGATTGGTATGGAAATGAAAGAATAGTGAAGTCTGAGACAATTGATTAACATTTTGCAACTGAAGTACTTAATGTATATATCACAGATTTTACCCAGATATACTGTAATGTTGTTTTAAAATACATTTGATTGTCCCCACTACTGTTCTCGTTTACTACACTACTTACTTACAGAACATTTGCTACTTACACTATGAAATATATATATATATATATATATATATATATATATATATATATATATATATATATATATATATATATATACGTATAAGTGAACACTTTATCAACTGAACAATACGCCATCCAAGCACAACAAATGATTTGCACTGTTACATACACAGATAACTTTACTTATAATAATTATTTACTGGTCAACAGTATAGAATAGACAATATGGAACTGAGAACAACTCTAATGTTTATTTCACAGGTTGAAGTCATGAGTCAATTGAAGCTAGACCACCATGGAAAACCTGTAAGCACTGGATTGCCGTTTCGTCCTAGTATAGGACTCCTCAGCAGTGTTATTTATTTGACTATAGACTGTGATACTTGAAAAAAAAAACAATATCTCATTTCTTGACAACATTTTTTTGCAAATGAAACAAAACACTTCTACTGTAATAAGGATTACTATGTGTAAATATCCCCCAATAATAAATATTATTGACTTCTTTCATTGAAATTATTAACTATTTATAGAAGTGTAAAGTGTTATTCATTCACCAACATTTAACTCATAATGTTTAGAGTGAATTAAATATACCCTTTTTACATGATCTTATTACAATGATTTATTCACATGTCTAAAAGCATATGACAATTATTACCAACCATGAACGATATGTTAAAAATAATTCATTGTGCATTTAAAAAAATGTATTAGCTTTCAGGTACAATAATCACTATCGCAATTACAAATTTGTATCTGGTTTGAAAAATAGTTGCCATTTTTTCTTCTAGTTTACTTTTAATGACATGCATAGTCTGTTTTTTCTTCTTAAAAAAAAACCCACAATCATTGATGAATTCAATCTATGTAACCGGATGAATTCAGTTCTATTTCTATGTAATCAATTAACATCTCTTTTTTATTATGATCTTAATATCTATTATCAGTCAGTGGTGATTGAATAGAATTGATGTGGCTTAGTGCAGAAGTTACAATTTTATATAAAATGATGATGGAGTAATCTGACAGAAAGTTTGTATTAAAACAATATTCAAATGATACAGAGACTTTAACTAATCGAATTACAAAAAGTAACATGTTTTAGAAGGGAATAATTTTATTAAGGGTATGGAATTTATTCGATTTGAA